TTATCTTTTACTGTCTAGTATTTCATGACCACGATACCTCGCTCGACTCTTCCCAAATCATAATAAGAGTTGAGGACGAACAGTATGTATATCGCAGTATGCTGAACAATGTAGCACTTCAATCCGTCTTCCAACGCTGATTGGTTGAAAATAGGTCAATTGGCAATCTACAATTTAAGGATGATCAGAACACTCAGTAGTCTGAATTTTCTATTGCTAACAGTTATAAGCAGTTTAACACCTATCATAAACATTTTTCGGACCAACGTATCTACATTACACAATAATTCAACAGAAAGACGTTAACAAGATGAAAGTCCATAGAACCGATGTCATAATACTAATGATAGTGGAAAGCTAAATGTAGGAAGTATAGTTCAAACAGACTGAGAAGTATGTATTAATATTACGACTGAAAATTCGGAGGAAAATAACGAATGAATTTAACTTCACCATTGAGGTACACATTGACTGAATTAGAAATTAAAACGTTCAATTTTATGAGTTAAAAAACTTCTCTATTCTCCATTGGGATTTCATCCTACGTACTGTGGTTGGAAACTCCGCCTGTAAATCTTCTAGAGTTACTGCTGGACCCAATACTGAGTAAAGGAGGAGGGTTAGGCACGGGGTGGTAACCCCATCCTGTAGAAAACAATCTTGCTAAAAAACGCTAACCAGATTAAACAATTTAAACTCTGTTCTCCAAGTTGAAGGATCTTCTTTGAGAAGAATTATGACACCTGATGGTGAGAGCCGAGATTCTTCGAAAGCCACGAGTTTGATGCCTCATTTAACAAGCACAGCAACAGTTGATATAAGTACATGGAGTGTTCTGAGAATGTGGTAGACCACGTAAATGAGGAGATACAAGTTGTTGTTGCTCGGAATCAATGATATGGGTTGGAGCCAATCTGTACGGAAGAGCATAGATTAAGGAGAAATGCTTCTGTACTGTGTTCATGAAAGGGAAAATGGTTCACACAATCAGGGAGTTGTTCTGACGCTGTCCGAAGAAGGTGGAAATGCAATTATAGGATTGGAATCGCATGGATCATCAAAATGAATATTATCCATTGTTATGCACCCATCAATGATAGCAATGACGACGATAAGGATAAGTTTTATGAGAGGCTGCAGTCAGTTATTGTGAAGTGCAGAGAAAAGGACGTGACCGTCCAGATAGGAGACCCCGACTCCAAAGTCGGAATGGACAACACTGGGTATGAAGATATCACGGGACTACATGAACTGACTGAGAGAAAGTTGTAGTGGCCTAAATCTGATTCTGTCTATACTCGTATATAATAAATGACTTTATTCCGCGTTGGTGAACAACGGAGTTAAATAAGTCAAATACGAGAATGGATTTAGAATACATATAATTTCTACACTCATTGGTCTGCAAGGGAATCAGAGTGATGAGGCGAATAGATGAGAGCGGAACGAAGCAAAGATCATGCGCAATGGAGATTGACTGTGAAGCCAACTCGAGAGTGATGCAAAAATAATGCGTATTGGAGATGGCTGGGAAGCCAACTCAATTTAAGCAAGCGTTAATCAACATTTATAGTCGGACAAAAATGAGTGACAGACATATGATGAATAAGATACGAAGTGTACACATATATGCTCATATAAAAGTATAGTCAAGGTTAATAAGCAAATGATTAACGAGATCAAAAGATGACTCATGACAGGCGAATTGGCTTGGCCAGTAGCCAAGATAAAGCATATGTGCTTAACAAATAAACTGATACTACAAAGTAATAAGAGAGGTTAGAGATTTGCACATTTGTGTACATTCAACAGAATGGTTATAGGTGTCACAATATTCTCACACAAAACTACATGAGTCTCACCGAACCACGCAACAGAGACTGGATTATGAAGACCTCGACATCTGACAGGAAGCACGGAATACAATGGACAGGTTGGATGAATCTAGGCGATTTTGACTTCACAGATAACCTAGCCTTTCTATCCCATACCCACGAACAAATGCAGATGGAGACAACTAGTGTAGCAGTAGGTCTTAACATACACAAAAGAAAAAGCGAGATTGTTCGTTGGCTGGATACCGTCAGCAACAAACTACTGTGAAAGAGAAAAAACCTGTTTCCATCTGAAGTGGAAATTAGGAAAAGATGTAAGTGGATAGGACATACATTGAGGAAATCACCAAATTGTATCACTAGACGAACTATATTTTCTCTATCATAGTTAAATAATTACTTGATTCAGTTACTAATTTTAAGCATGTTTTCCAGAAGCTTCTGAAATCTCAACGTCATGTGTTGTCATAACGACACCCCTGTTTTTAACTTATGAATTAACCTTGAAAACAAGGAGTTCGAGAATAAGAGATTTCTGGATACCAAAAAGTTTTCAGTTAGCAAATTTGTGATTATTCAAACGTGGTCCACCAGGGTGTTTGGTACCTAAGTGGTTGCGCCACAGGATTGGGCCGAGCTGTTCGGATTGTAACGTTGAAGCCTTTATAGTGTCTGGTTCTCCTGTAGGGCGGGATTGAGCTGTACTGCTTGGGCTAAGCCTGGGTAGTGTCTGGCTCTCCTATCCAGCGGGATTGAGCTGTACTTTTTGGGTTGCCTCGTGAAAGTCAGGATGGTGTCTGTTTCACCTGAAAACCAGTGCAAGATTACCCTCGCCCATAAGGGTATATTATATAACCGTGCCCCCAAATGCCCTGGTACGACAGAGAGTGGAGAGAGTCTACTCTCCCTCTCGAAATGCTCTCACATGGCCAGCGAATATATAGCCTCTGCCAGGGAAGTCCTACTCACTGCCTTCTCGTGGCGGGGGTGTTGTTTACGAAAGTGATAGGACGAAAAGCGAATGTCCGGCGCTGTAACTGGGTTGGTGGACATGGAGGGTCCACCTAGGGGAGTTGGAAAACCCTGATTATAAACCAATGGTGCACATGGGCTCCAGTATCCTGATGGAACGAATGGCGGACGAACCTGTCATTGGTCAACGGCTACCATGGGACTGCACCTCCTCACGATGCTCCTGCACTGCCTTGTGGATCAAATCTTAAGGTCAAAGGCTTCGGGTGTGCCCCCCTTAAAAAAACCACCTGCTTCGTTTTGGGCACCTGGGCAGTATCACAGCCTACACACAAATAAATGAAATGATGAATTCTATTGACGATACTATTCCTGCTCATACTAGAAGCAAGACAATTTACATTATTATTATTATTTACCATATCGCTAACTCACCCTCTTTTATCCCCAATTTGTGTAACCTTACTTTTCAACTTATGCAGCAGCTCGCCCATGGTGGAAAATCTGTCCTATCTAAACGATCTCCAGTTTAGAGACGTTATCAGATATGGCTCAGAATAGAAGCCAGTGGCGATCCTGCTGCAACCTTCTTTTACTTTCTACATAAATAATGGTTCTAACTTTCTCAACTGAAAGAGTCTTCTGGTTGTACATTTTAGTCCGCATTATCTTTTCATCCTTTCTCTTCCTACTTTCATTATTTTGTGTGGCGCATATATACCTGGTGCCCTTTTGTACCAATATATATGTGTTTAAATAAATAAATAATAAATTTATAAACGATTCTCATAAATTATTTCAGCCATACTAGGTTACTTTCAATGATCTCTTATCTTTTATTATTATTATTATTATTATTATTATTATTATTATTATTATTATTATTATTATTAGCTTTATTCAATATTATATTTTTGGTATAATATAGAATTCTCAGCACAAAGTACTTCAACAAGTTTCCGTTTCTTACTTCTTCGTCCTTCCTGACGATAAATATTGAGTGATCGCCAGTTAGAACTTAGCAGCCCAGTCAATCGACATCTGGATAATGTACATTGTTGTCGCTGCATATTGCCAGCAACCACGATATCTCTGATTAAGCCTTCTGTAATCTTCACAGCGAAAGGTCTTACACTTTTCAGAAACGTACCTGAATAGGCTGTGCGATTAATAGGCATAATGATGTATTAAAACAAACGAAATCAGATAACTGTTTGAAATATCTAGATGATAGGAACAGGTAGCCCAGATGTTTAAACAGACCTCAGTCACTACTGTCATCCGGCGATATGATAAAGATAAAGTATTGTACAGTGTTTTGATTATATTATAATTTTGTTGTGAATTGTAAGGCACTAAATAGAATCTTTGAAATAACTAAGTCATTATTATTGTGGTGATACCACATTAACACAGAGATGCAGTTGTCGATTCAAATCCCATAGTGGTAGAAATAGCAAGAGTATAAACAGTAAACCTAAAGATTAGGGTTTGAAGATGGTATTGAAGGAGTATAATCCAGTGAAATAAATTTAGAGTGAGAAAAAAGATAAAAATATGAAGAATTCGGAAGATTAGAATTCGGCAGACTACAAAGAGTGGACGCACTTTCGCCATTACAAGCGATTTTGAGCCATATCATCCAAGGTCTCTAATTTGGAAGCACTGGACGGCCGTTTCGTCCTATTGTGGAACTCCTCAACAGTGCGCATCCACCAGGATTTCTCTGGTGGTCTAGCTTCAATTTACTCACGCTTTCAACTGTGAAAATACTAAATCTCCACAAAAAAACCCTTCTGACTATATTTTCAGTATTTAACTATAAAACATGGCTTTTAAAGTATATATATACCAACGTGTATGTATAAACATGTATCTGATGGGTCTTGAACAAGACGAAAGTTCTACTCTGGATCACAATTTGTAGATTCCATAATGGCTCTTAAAAGTTGAAGAAATTTGTCGATTATTGATAAGATTACCAAGTGAATAATCCTAAAGCTAGACGTAGGGTACCAAGTAGATAGTATTACGTTTTGCTTTAAGCAATGACGAGAACTTTGGGAACGCACCTTAAAGCGCATTTTTTATCTTCATATACTCTGCTTTTACAATTAAATGACTTTTAAAGTTTTCTGTGCAAATGAAACCATAATTTCTAGAAACATTTTCATTTTTTCTACTTCTTAATAGTTATTTTGTGGTTCCTGTTCAGCATATAAAGCTCCATTGGAATCTTGTGGCGGTAAATATCAACGAGTATGTGTTGTAGACTATTATTTACTGAATAAGAATTTCAAGCCACCAAAACCTAAAATTATGGAGGCGATACTACGTCGAGTAGATAAAGTAAGTTTTTTTTGTTTTAAAATTATTGATGATTTACATTAATCAAATATATTTTTACTCAAAAATAATTACTGATTAAAAAATCCACTGAGTATTGTTTGTTTGAATCTTCTCATCAAACAAACAATACTAAGTGAATTTAAACTTCACCTCATTGCACAAGCAAGTGACTATCAGGACTTACTAGCTGAGTGGATAACGCGATAGAGTTTGAAGCGAAAGGTACTGGGTTCGAGTCCCAAGGTGAACATCAACTGACGAGTCCCAAATAGGACGAAACGCACGTCCTGGATTCCACTGCTAGCCACTATCCATCTTTGCTTACAATTACTGAGTAGTTTATTGATAGTTTCATATATCACAGTATCAACAAGTACAATTTATCACTGTCTCGTTCACACAGTCCCTTTCTAATCTCCGTCGAACTATTCCTATTTAAGTACACAATTGTTTGAGTGACATAAACCGTACCCAACCAATCTTGTCATCCTCCACGATCTATCCCATTCTTGAATGTAACATTAACATTAAGTTTCCAGATTTGATTAAATTAGGCAAAGTTAAATCATGTGGTAGACATCCCTAGGGGGTTTTGTGAAGATTTTATTAATTTTATATAGTTGAGATCATGAGTCACTTAAAGCTAGACCACCATCGAAAACCTGGGAGCACTGGACGACCGTTTCGTCCTATTATGGGACTCCTCAGCAGTGCACATTCAAGATCCCGCCTCGCGAGACTCGGACCCAGAACCTACCAGTCTCGCGCAGAGCACTTAACCGATAGACCACTGAGCTGGCATTCAACGGTGTTAATGTCTAACCTCAACCAATCCACGACATCTATCAATTGTATAACTTCTTTACAAATTTCTGCAGTACTTTACATTATAGTTAATTATTATAACTTATTAGTCGAGTATTAATTTGTGTTGTATTATTCGATCTTGAGCGCCATTATTTATTCATTTATTCGAACACATAAACATTGGTACAAAAGGGCACCAGATACATATGTACCACACAAATCTCATTTGATTTGTATGAGGGCTGTGATACTGCCCAGGTGCCTAAACTAAAGCAGGTGGTTTTCTTACGAGACCACACCCCGAGCCTTTGACCTAAAGGTGTAATCCGCAAGGCAGTAGAGCATCGTGAGGAGATGCAGTCCCATGGTAGCCGGTGACCAACGATTGATTCACTTGCCATTTGTTTCATCAGCACACTGGAGCTCATATGCACCATTGGTTTGGAATCAGGGTTTTCAAATCCTCTAGGTGGACATTCGCTTTTCATCCTCTTAATTTCGTAAACAACACTCCTGCCACGAGAAGGCAGTGAATAGGACTTCCCTGGCAGAGGCTATATATTCGCTGGCCATGTGAGAGCATTTCGAGAGGGAGAGTGGACTCTCTCCACTCTCGGCCGTACCAGGGCATTTGAATAGTAATAATCTTTGTGGAATATCATAGTTATTCCAACATCATCTCAGACATGACTTATATATCTACATCTAGTCATGAACATTTTCACAACTTAAATCACGAACTGATTTATCATTTCATTTAACTATAAAAGTTCATTATCACTTAGTCATTTCAACTAATTTAGTTTTATTGAATATGAATAATTAGTTTATTCAAAGTCACATTTGATTTGTTTCAATCACAGATTTCTCTACATATTGAACACACAAATAAACAAACAACCTACACAACAGAATAGATAACATACCATTTCATGTAGTGTTTATTACATAATGAAATAATAGATTTATTCAACTTATATACAATATATGATAATATAATTTAATATTTTCATGTAAACAATACAATACGATTAAACTGTTTATAAATTGAGAATTATCAAATGTTCAGTGTGCAGTGAGTTGATGGAGAATTGTAGCTGAGGTAGATGATTTTGATGGAGTTTTGTTCTCTGAACTGGAATGGTTTGGTCGTGGAGCTTTCATCGGTATTCTGAACGACATCATCAGCACAGTATTCAGGTAGACGTTTGTGCTGATGATGTCGTTCAGAATACCAATCAAAGCCGCACGACCAAACCATCCAGTTCAGAGAACAAAACTCCACAAAAATATGCAGTGAGTCTGTGACAGTAGTTCCGCTTTATATATATATAGGCCCCCGAATGCCCAGGTACTGCCGAGAGTGGGGAGAGTCCGCTCTCCCTCTCCAAATGCTCTCATATGGCCACGCGTATATAGCTTCTCTCAGGGAAGTCCTACTGACTGCCTTCTCGTGGCGGGGGTGTTTACGAAATTGAGAGGACAAAAAGCGAATGTCCGGCTCTCTAACCGGGTTGGTGGACATGGAGGGTCCACTTAGGGGAGTTGGAAAACCCTGATTCCAAACCAATGGTGCACATGAGCTCCAGTATCATGAGGGAACAAATGGCGTATGAATCAATCATTGGTCACCGTCTACCATGGGACTGCATCTCCTTACGATGCTCCTCTGCCTTATGGATCATACCTTTAGGTCAAAGGCTCGGGGTGTGGTTTCGTAAGAAAACCACCTGCTTCAGTTTAGGCACCTGGGCAGTATCACAGCCCTCACACAAATCGAATGAGATTTGTGAGACGCATATGTATCTGGTGCTTCCTTGTACTACTATTTATGCGTTTAAATATTTATATATATATATATATATATATATATATATATATATATATATATATATATAACCTGGCTCCTTTGAAATGTTGTTCAAGGAATTTCTACGTTCGATTGCCGTTATCTTCGATGTATTGTTCATATCCTTTTATGATAACACTATGTAAACAGGACAAATATCAGATAATATATGTTCAAGTGGGTCAATGATAATTTGACTAATCTCGTGATCGTAAAACGCCGGTTTCCATCACTTGAACATATTTTTTGAATATCATCCATACTGAATTTACACCAAATTATTTATCGTCGTTAGGACTGGGTTGAGAACTCAGAGGTGATCAGTTTATGTGATGGCGCATTGTTATGAACGATAGCTATATAGTATTGGTAGCGAAAAAACGTTTCTTCCCATAGTTGTATGGTAATGTAATGTATGCTACTCATGTCGATAGATATAAGATATATGTAACACCAATCGAAAGTGAAATGCCTGACAACATAAGGTTGATAAGATCGAATAGAAGGGAACGGGAACAAAGAGTGATTGGTATGAAAATAAAGGAACAACAAATTCTGAAACATTTGATTGACATTTTTCAAATAAAGTATTAAAGGTATGGTATTTACATTTTACCAAATAACTCTGTAATTTTGTGTTCAAATACATTTGATTGTCCCCACTAGTGTTCTCGTTCATTACAGTAAATATATCTATAGATGGATAGGAAAGATTTCAGCATAAAGTTATTCGAGAACTCAATAATCATAGGGTTAGAGAACAACAGGAGGATGAAATTAATTTACGAAAGATAATTGTCCACTTGACATATATGAAGAAAAACGTTAAACAGGAACGTCATCATCTTAAAAACTTAATAATAATCATGAAAAATTGTTAAAGGATACTAATATTAATTGATTATAGTAAGCAAAGATGGATAGTGGCTAGCAGTGGAATCCAGGACGCGCGTTTCGTTCTATTTGGGACTGGTCACCTGGATGTACCTGCATCCAAGAGTTGATGTTCACTCTAGGACTCGAATCCAGTACCTTTCGCTTCAAACTCCATCGCGTTATCCACTAAGCTAGTAAGTCCTGATAGCCACTTGCTTGTACAATGGGGTGAAGCTTAAATCCACTTAGTATTGTTTGTTTGAATCTTCCCATCGATGTGTTAGGACTGCAACTGGTCAGTCTCTAATTGCAATCATCAACATCGTTCTAAGTAAATCCTCATTGATAAACTGTCGAAATCAAAAAATAAAGCCTTTCAACTTCCATTAAAAATAATTACCATTTGTAAGGATTTGATTACTTCCTGTTTCTTTGATAATACCGACTAGAATGAACAGGTTTCTATTGAAAATATATATGTTATAAGAGAATCCCCTTTTATAGTACCTTTAATTTCAAGCTGTTAGAATATTTAGATTATGGCTAGTGGTTGGAATACTGGAGGCATATTTATTGCTGTTTAGTACATCCAACTGATAAATCTTGTAGATTTGTTTTAAGACTAGTTATTTATTTATTTATTTAAACACATAAATATTGGTACAAAGGGGCACCAGATATATATATGCGCCACACAGAAAATTGTCATTTCATTTAATTTTGTGAGGGCTGTAATACTGTCCGGGTGTCCAAACCGAAGCAGGTGGTTTTCTTAGGGTGGCAACACCCGGAGACTGACCTAAAAGTTTGATCCACAAAGCAGTGGAGCGTCGGAGGGAGATGCGATCCCATGGTAGCCGGTGACCAACGATTGATTCACACGCCATTTGTTCCCTCAGGATACTGGAGCCCATGTGCACTATTGGTTTGGAATCAGGGTTTTCCAACTCCCCTAGGTAGACTTTTCGTGTCCACCAACCCGGTTAAAGCGCCGGACATCCACTTTCGTGAATAACACCCCCGCCACGAGAAGGCATTGAGTAGGACTTCCCTGAGAGAAGCTATATACGCGTGGCCATATGAGAGCATTTGGAGAGGGAGAGCGGACTCTCCCCACTCTCGGCCGTACCAGAGCATTTAGGGGCTGGTGGAATTTCTTCAATAGTAAAATCACTGAAATATATTTCTTAAACGTTACCTTTATATATCTTACTTCTTTACATGTGAATGTATCCTCAGTTTTTGTTTCATGAAAACAAAAAATAAGAAAGTTTGATTCAGTGAAAACAAAAATTACACATTCTTAACATAAAGTCGATTCTTTCATTGTTTCATTATTCGTTTTTTTTTCTCTTTTGTATAATTATAAAGATTATCATTGTAAGTTTCTTATCAACCCTCCCCCCCTCTAAAGTAAAACAGTAACTTAATCTAACTAACACCATGCCTATTTCATTTAATTTCAATGTTCATGTGTATAAATATTTCAATGATCTTGTATCCTGCTTATTTAACCATAAAAAAATGCGGGTTTATGAATTTTATTGTTTATCACTCAAACTTTTATTATTTGATAACATAATTGTTTGGTGCTTGTGGAATCTTCAAGATCTACTCAGTTTAAAGTTAACTTGGTGATGGACACAACTATCAAATATACCATTCTTAAATTCATTTGTATCGGTTACTTACTTACGCCTATTACCCCTCGTCGAGGAGCATAGGCCGCTCACCAGCATTCTCCATTCAATGTTGTCCTGAACAATCCTTTCCAGTTCGTTCCAGTTGTTATTCATCCTTTTCATATCTGCTTCTATTTCCCGGTGTAATGTTTTCTTTGACCTTCCTCTATTCCGATTCCCTTCACCATCCCAAGTTAGGCATTGCCTTGTAATTCACATTGGTGATTTCCTCAATGTATGTCCTATCCACTTACAACGTCTTTTCCTAATTTCCTCTACAGCTAAAACCTGCTGATTTTTCCTCTCCTGTAAAACGCTGTTGCTTATAGTATCCGGCCTGTAAATGTTGAGTATTTTGCGTAGACAACTGTTTATAAATACTTGTACCTTCAGCTACGTACAGTAGAACTGATTGTCTTGACGTTCGTATTGAAGATTCTCACTTTAAAGTTAGTTGAGAGTTGTTTTGGGTTCTATATGTTCTTCAATTTTAGAAATGCTCCCTTGCTTTGTATCGGTTGCTTGGATCTATTCATTAATGTTAGTGACTGGAATTGAGTCCTAGAGTGAACATCTACTCTGAGATGCAGGTACACACTGCTGACGATTCGCAAATAGATTGAAACATATGCCATAGATTCCACTTGTCACCATTATCCATCTGTTCTTATGATATCATTTTTTGTATTTTATTTCCGTCTAATCCCAAGAACTATGTTTGAATGCATTTTACTTAAGATAATCACCTATTAATCCCTTTGTTTACGTTTACTAACTTAGTTGTTGACTACTAGTCTGAAGCTTTTTTCAAACACTTGCTGTACAGTGTAGAACAAAGTAAAAAAATTAAATGCATCAATCTAAATTTTCAGAACAGATGGTTTGTAGCTAGTTATGGGATTTATAATGCTCGTTTCATGGTATATAGGACTCACCAGCTGGATCTACTTCCATCTCAGTGTTTTGACCTTTATTAATAATGACATTAAGATTCAGAGGGAGATTTTGTAAAAAGAAGAACAAATTCATCTGTTCTAATATGTCCTATTCTAAGTCATACCACTTAGTATACAGTTATAGATTTCAGTTATCTCAGGAAATTCCAAAAAAAGTGCTCTTAAATCCCACCAAATAATTTCATGGATTGACTTTTTATTTATGATAGTCTGATAGTCCTCCAAACCTGTTTTAAAACTGCTAAAAATTAATAAACCGAATCAATATTCTGTCGCGATGATTGAGCTGAAAGTGTCTGTGAGCGCTATTAAGTTGAAGCTTTCATGTGCAATCTGATCTTTCGATTTCGCATCGAGCAAATTTGAAGCGCCAAACACATCTCATTAATAAGTGTGTGACAAGTATGAGATTTGGCCTTTTCCCTTGTCCTTTCAGATATCTTATACTCAGATTATCAACTGTATTCGTTACGTAACCATCAATTAACTCATGATTAGGTTACTTAAACAAAGATCGATATTTATGGTCTAAATTCGTTCACCTGTCAGTCATCCTCTCAGTGTAAAGAAGTATTTTATTCCATAGAATAATAGTAAGTTCTATAATAGCGACAATCTCTGTTTATTTGATTTTGGGTAATTGGAGGTAATCATCAGGTACCAGCGGACCTGGTTTTTCATGCTAGTTGTCACTTATCATTAAGGCGTACTGTCGGTGCATGTTGAATTTGAGTTCAGGTTACCCAGGTTTGTAGTATAAGACGTTGCCGCTGAGATATTCAGGCTGAAACTAACCATTATGATTGAGACATTTGCAGTAGTTATCTAATCTGTAGTGCTGGTCGAATTCTACCAGCCAAGTTGTAATGTAGTAACAAGTTTTAGATGAACTTGTTTGTTGGTGTTTTTAAGTATTTTTTTCCTGTAATGTGATAATTAATATAAAATATCTTTATGTACCATAATTTAATTTAAAGCAGCAACCACCTCAACCATTGAGAACTGGTTTCTTAATGTGGAGTCATTTCAATAATTCATGGTCTACAAAATCACCTATACGACTACCAAAATCTTCCATACAATATCGATCTGTTGATGCAAGTTTTGAAATACGAAAAGAAATGCTTCGTGATATTGGTCCTCTTAACTCTTCTAACAAATTTACATGCAAAAACTCTTCGACAGATCCCGTAAACAATCATCATGATTTAAATACTCAATCCATTTCTAATTCATTGCCTCACATCAACCATCAATCATTCGACTCATCAATTAATCTAGAATCGACAAATCATAAATCATCATCTGCATGCCTATCTCGTTTATTTTGTGTTTTACAAACGGATACTTCATTCGAATTCTACGCTGCTCGTGCTGATACACGTGCAGTAGATAAAATTACTGTGATAGGTTTACGTTTATTCTACTTAGATGATAATTTTAATGATACATTTTCAAATCATAGTGATGATTTATCAACAATTCAACAATCTACGCTGCATACTAAATCACGGAGTTTTGATAGTTCATCTCGTGTGAACAACGATTTTCCTGAAAACACTAGTGCATATTCTAGTTTATATAGAAAAGGTAATCCTATATATCGGAACTTTAAACCCCCTCCAAGGGATCGTAACATATTTGATCGTAAATTTTCTAGTGAAACATCTAGTCTTTCAGATGTAACTTCCTTATCGAAATCTTATATTAAACCATCATCAATCAGTACCTTAGAACCTGACAGTTTACTGAACCGATCTACACAATCTTGTAGAGAAAGATCCTCTAAAGAAAATCATAAAAATTCTTTACGTAATTTTTCTGATGATCAATCCAATGATGATGATGGAATTGTAACTAACAATGAAATATTAAAACATGTGGAAACAATCAGTCCTGAGATATTGGGTCTTCTGCGTAATAATTTAGGTTTTCTTCTATTACCTTTAAATACAGATCGTCCAGCACATTATTTTGAAGCAGCAACAGTAGAAATCAGAACACAGTAAGCCTATATTTTTACTTCATTCTTTTAGCTATAAGACTGTCATAAAACTGTGTTTTCCGTTGTGGCTTGATGAGATCATTATTTCTACAACATTTATTCTTTTAAATAAATCAAAGAGTAGTTACTCCTAGTGAGGATACTATAGAAAAGTGGCAAATCGATTGGTAATTCCATGATAATTCATCTTCTTAAGTGATTGAGACATATGTTAAACATGCCTAGAAGAAGTCTAGGACATCTATACCAAGACTTTATATCGATTCAGTGTCAGATTGTTAGAGTAAGCTGTGTTTGGAGGTACAGACCACTTGTCTAAATTTTGCTGAATAGTTGTGTCTACTAGTAGGAGACCATTCAAGATATGGCTCGAAATTGATCTCGGTGATACCAATGTGTCTATTATTTTTCTTTCTTTAAATCTTCAGTTGATTAATTTTTTATACTTAGCTTTCAATCTCAATGATAAATATCTGATCTCAAAAATATATTTGTGTACATAATTTTTAAATGTGATAAAACACTGGACATCTATTTTGTTGTAATTTCCGTTTGACCTCCTTTCGAGACCAAATACTTGTTATATCTGTGGCCGAGTAGATGCCTTGCTAATGTGTGACGCGATAAGATCGCCAAGCAAGGAGCAGCGAATTGTCGATTGGGACAGTGACACGAAACCCGAACGAGCAGACTAGAGTGCTAACCGGTCCTGCGATCTGCCTAGCCCAGCCAGTTAAGTCCAAAACACCAATAACAGTCTCAGTGGTATCAATCATTATTCACAAGCATACTGGGTTTATATACTAACCAAACAGACCCAATTATACTCAAAAATAGAAAAATAACATTTGTACAATAATTGGCCAATGTGGCTGTAGATAGGGGGAAAGTAATCAATAATAATAGTTCAAAGGTCAAAATAAGGGTTATGATAAGAGGAACACGAATACGACTAGGTAAGTTATTTAACAACTATACAATAGGAAATAGTCATATTACATTGATCCATAAATAGACCTAAAAGTTACCATTCGTAATTCCCCGGGGGATATAACAACTAGATCCTTTACAGGACTTCCAAGTTTTGTGGTATGCACTAAACCATTAAGATGGTGAAGAAGATTTGTAGCTCAGGTGGATAATTTTGATGGAGTTTTGTTCTCTGAGATCAGTATATCACGAGCTAACTGAATTGAGGAAATGTACTAACTGATTCCAACTTTTTGACCGATTAAAAGTGAACTCTCCCTAAAACGTTAGAATCCTTTACCTTGACCATAAGTGAAGTCATGGTCCCGTACCGCTAAGAATTCCTGAACGAAGAGGACTGTATATTTCCAGTTGTTTTTCTTTTAACTAGTTTTTCAGTAGATATCAGTCCGGTAAAATATCACTCAATGTTTTTCTAGATCTTGAGTTTCATTATTCTTTATATACATACCCTCTTACTCTGTTTTTTTTTCAACCAATGTTTAGTCTTTTTCATTGTCATTGCTATCATCTTTTTTCAATCTCTTTTTCTATTCATCTTGTCATTTTCATGTCCTCGTGCTTTTCTGTCATTGAAACATGGGCTGATTCACCCTTTTGCCAGACTTCACTCTAATCATGACTGATTAACTCCGAAGAATCTGGTTCTTTTTTTAGTGCCATAAATTTGCATTGTTTCAACATTCCATGAAAAGTAGTGCCTGATTATTTTTTTATTTAAACACATAAATATTGGTACAAGGAGCCACCAAATACAAATGCGCCTCACAAATCTCATTCGATTTGTGTGAGGGCTATGATACTGCCCAGATGTCCAAACTGAAGCAGGTGGTTTTCTTAGGGGGCCGCACCCGGAGCCTTTGACCTAAAGGTCTAGTCCACAAGGCAGTGCAGGAGCATCGTGAGGAGATGCAATCCCATGGTGGCCGGTGAACAACGATTAATTCATACACCATTTGTTCCTTCAGGATCATGGAGCCCATGTGCACCATTGGTTTAAAATGAGGGTTTTCCAACTCCCCTAAGTGGACCCTCCGTGTCCACCAACCCGGTTAAAGCGCCGGACATAAACTTTTCATCCTCTCAATTTCGTAAACAACACTCGTGGCACGAGAAGGCATTGAGTAGGACGTCCCTGTCAGAGGCTATATATTCGCTGGCCATGTGAGAGCATTTCGAGAGGAAGAGCTAACTCTCCTCACTCTCGTGCGTACCAGGGCATTTAGGGCCTGATCAGTTAATCACAATGTAATTAACTGACTCCATATTCCAAAAAAGCCTTGACTAACTTTTCTAGTATGTTGTTTTCTAATTATCTAGGTTTGCTTGTTTACTTTGATTTAAAATGTTTAAAGGTCAAGACAATGTCAATAATATCAATAATGGTAACTGATCAACAACATAGTATATTCTTTGTAAATAAACAAGCTTAACTACTGACTTCCTCCTACCTTTTTCTTAGGGCTTTATTATCATCACTTCTCATCTATTCATATTGGACGTGTTTTATTGCACAGTAATGTATTATTAATGTATATCTTTTTATGAATCACTTCAACTCTCTATCTCTCTCTACATTTCACTCACATATAAATGCACACACCTTGACATCTAAGCATTTCTATATTTATCGGAAGGGGTTTTGTGGAGATTTAGTATGTTCATAGTTGAAAGCGTGAGTCAATTGAAGCTAGACCTCCATGGAAAACCTAGAAACACTGGACGGCCAACTCGTCCTATTATGGGATACCTCAGCAGTGCGCATCCACGAACCCGTACTCGCGAGATTCGAACCCAGGAGCTACCAGCCTCGAGCCAGAGCCCTTAATCTATAGACCACTGAGCTGGCATCCAACGGTGTTAATATCTAACTTCAACTGATCCACGAATTTGAGCAACCATTCACCAAATGTCTTCAGTGAGTTTCTATCTCACGACAGACGTGGTTTGAACTCCATTGGTCACTGCTTCTCGCTAGAGCTCCTGGATATACTTCTCGAAGTCACTTGTTTCTTTTCCTTTTCAGATGGATCAATTCTATTCGTCGTGTTTGCATAGATTTCATGTCCTCCCCATCTTCCAAGTGAATAAGATAGAAGAAACAGATACATCCTACCATCTATCGATCAATATCTATGGAGGAGAAATAACAGATAAGAAACTGATTTTCTATCATCAAATTGTTTTGTAAGATGTTGTTTGTTTGTTTTTTACATTTTAATGCCACATGCTTATTTGTTGAAAAGATCATTTTTGACCTTTCTTATTCTTTCATTATGTTGCATTATGTTACTTACAAGTAGTATGTTTATTTTTTTATGAATAAATAAAAAATTGTGACTCATATTTCTTCATTGTCATCTTGGTCATGGCATCTCTATTCTATAAATCACTTTTCTGTATTGCTTTTTTTGTTAACTGCCTGAGTTCGAATCCTTCCTACTTTTTATAGTAACTTTTTTTGAAATATTTTTTTTTACTCTATCGTACTTTCAATTGTTTATATTTTGTTATTTTCTCCCCAACCTTAACAAAATGAGTAATATGATTCCCCGTTTTTGTTTATGATAAATTGACTTTGTAAATGAATGGATGGATGGATGTAAATGGAGGGCAAGATAAATTACTGCTATTTCAGTAGTCTATAGCTGGAGATCACTGGAACACCGATTTTTCGATTTTCGATTATGTGTAATTTACCTTGGTAAATGATACTATATCAATAAATGTTTAGTAATAACATGGAATAAGTCAAGTTTGGATTATTTTTTTCAAATTATTACTGTTGAATTTTGTTTGAAATGATGATTATCATTTAAATGATTTTGATTGACAGCTAGTGTAATGATTTACTTACACGCTGTCACCCCTTGTGGAGGAGCATAGGCCGCTCACCAGCATTCTCCATCCAACTCTGTCCTGAGCAATCCTTTCCAGTTCTTTCCAGTTGTTATTCATCCTTTTCATATCTGCTTCTATTTCCCGGTGTAATGTTTTCTTTGGCCTTCCTCTATTCCGCTTCCCTTCACCATCCCAAGTTAGGCATTGCCTTGTAATGCACATTGGTGATTTCCTCAATGTATGTCCTATCCACTTACAACGTCTTTTCTGAATTTCCTCTACAGCTGGAACCTGGTTTATCCTCTCCCATAAAACGCTGTTGCTGATAGTATCCGGCCTGTAAATGTTGAGTATTTTGCGTAGACAACTATTTATAAATACTTGTACTATCTTGACGATGGATGTCATAATTCTCCACATTTCAGCTCCGTACAGTAAAACTGATTGTCTTGATGTTCGTATTGAAGATTCTCACTTTGAAGTTAATCGACAGCTGTTTTGATATTGTAATGAACAGAATACTAATTGGGACCATCGAATGTATTTAAGCACAAATTACAGACTATCTCACTAAATTCTGATAACCATACAATAGTAAACAGTTAATTTGCAAATGATCAATCAATTGTCATAATCTTCACTATTCCTTCTGTAAATATCAATCCTTCTTCTCTAATTCCATTGTTCATGCATTTTCCTACCAATTGTGCTTCATTTCAGTTCTTTCCTTATCGGTCTTCTGCCAAAATACATTCTATGTCTGACCATCACCATATACTACTTATAGGGATATAAGTATACCACACTACACTAGTAGTTTATTGATAGGTAATTAGTTTTAAAGCTAATTACATTTTGTGATATAATCTCGTCTCTATGTGTTTTACTCTGAAAGTTGGTATAACTTACTGACTAATACAGAAATATAGTTCTCCCTAGTAGAGGCTTATATATCATGTTGGGATAAAATTTTATGGCCCAGTGATCTGACTACAATTTTATTGTACAATGATGTTAACAAAATATACATCTCGGCTACACTTGTACATAATTATGGATTTAATTTGCGTTAGAGAGAATAATGGAATAAATTAAAACAAACACGAGAACAAACTTTGGATACGTGTATTTCGCATATTTGTTGATTCATACAGACAGTTAGAGAAACG